CAGAAGGAGACACCATATTTAACGTGGTTCGGCATTAAAGCCTACGTCCACGGGAGAGTAACCGGTTATCACTATAACATGGAGAGATTACAGAAAGATTACAATAGAGGAGGAGCTCACACTCTCCTCACTCAGCCACTCTCCCGTCTCCCTCGCTTACACCGAGAGAGATGGTCTCTCCGCCTCACATCTCTCACTCTTTGTTGTTCTTGTTTCTCACATTTTCATCTCTCCTCTCAACCTCCATTTATGCACATTGGAGGAGAGGTGTGATTGGCCACCACCTACCCCTATGATGGCTTCTCCTCAGGTGTCAACAATGGTGGCTTGTCCACATTTCTTGCCAACCAATTGTCAACCATGGTAGTTGCCATTCTTGACTTGGTTAGTTCCCTTCCCATGGGTGAATTCAACACTAGTGGGATAAAGAAGAAATGTATTAAAAAAATTCCGATTAAGTAATAACTAAAACTAAATCAAAACTCGGCCAAAGGTCAAAATTTGAGTGGCAAGAACTTAAAAGTAAAAACCGTAAAAAAGAACATATGAAAGCCTCAAGCTACCAAGCCAATTAATCCATTTAAAATAACAAGGCAAAACTTGAACTAGTGAGTTGAAATGAGGATGAATCATTGTGTAACACAACACTCACATTCACTAAGCGATAATATTAAAATAAAACCTAACTTAGTAAGTTGAAAATTGAAATCATGCATGCCACAAACCTCACGAATAAGTATCTTTTGTGTTATACCATCCAATGCCACCTTGGTAACATCTTGCTCTGCAGCTTTTCGTTGTGAAAATACATCATGAGATGTATATGATGCAACATCTACCTGGAGAGTGGACCTAAACCTTGGCTCATGTGGAACTCCTCATTCATTAATTGTTTCATAAACTGGGAGTGGAATGGATGATTTTTGAGTGTACTCTTGCAAACGGTTCTTGTACATTGCGAGTTTCGGAGGATCTAGCAATATTAAGGAAAACATATTATCACAAAATGCACTTCAAGCTCCCAATGAATAGTTTGTTTTCAAGTATTGGCATCTGTAAACTAATTTCAAAAAGTGCATGATCAATAAATTAGAACCTTTCAAGTACAACGATGAGCAACCATGTGGAAACTTTTTTGTCATTCACACAACAGCTCTAAGGAAGTCCAGCTAAGTAACCCAGAACATTCAGCACACGGTTTGGTTGGGTCAGTTTGGATTTACCCCTGAACCGTCAACTGGCTGCCAACATTCGGATAGAGAAAATGTCAACCTGATTCGACACAAACCCCTTTTAAAACCGTTTGCTTATGCTATTCGGTTTCACAGTCGGTATATGTTCGAGTATCGGGTTGGACCTCAACTCAAATGCAACTGAGAATCTCATTAGATCTACCAATTTGGTAAACAAGAACGAAAAAAAAAATAAAAAATTGAAACAAATTTATCACTTTCCTTCAGCATAGATCTATTAATTTGGTAAAAACAAATAAAAGAAAATCAAAAAATTGGAAACAAGATCTCGTAATCTAATATTACATTTAGGGTTTTCGTTGGACTTCTTTAGAGCAGTGAGAGAGAGAGTGAGTTTTAGAGAGAGAGGATTTTCGTTGGACTTTCTTAGAGTAGTGTGTGTGTGAGAGAGAGAGAGAGAGAGAGAGAGAGAGAGAGAGTACCTGCAGCACCAGTGTAAGAGAGGGAGAAAGCGAGTCGAAAATATGAGGAAGTGGTGGGACGTAGTCGTATTTTGAGTGATGCCATTAATGAGATAGGCTAGCATGCGTGTGGTGCATAGAGCTCTGCTCGAGCTTGCTTCTTTTTTTTTTTAATCCTTCGGTTACAAAAAAGATAAAATAATTTTTTTAATCTAATAAAATATTACATTTAAGTAGTTGTTTGGGTTAAACTAAATAAGTGTATTTTTTTACTTTTTATGAAATATGGGTTCAATATGGGTTAGGTTTGAAGTGATGTATAAGATGATGTGACTTAAATAGGATAGTGACTTTTTGACTTTTTTAGATTATGCCAAACCAAGCCTTAAATCATAATAATTTTATTTCTTTTACAAAAGTAAAAAAAATTAAAAAATTTATTCCAAATAAAAATTTTTAATACCAAATTAAAATAATCAAAAAGATAAAAAAACTAAACCATATTCCAAGTGCGTGTTTGGTAATGTTTACGTTTTCAGTTTATATTTACAAAAATTTTTTAAATTGGTTTTTGTTTATTTTTAGAAAAACATAAACTACAAACACGTTTGGTTTAGAAAAAATGTTTAAAAAATTTAAAAAATATAAAAAAGAGTGAGAAATGACAAGTGGTGGCGGGTGCGCTGACTGGTCTGCCACGTGGCGATGATTGGACCAAGGCCGTGGCAGCCACGTGGCAGCCACGTGGCACTTTCTGCTGACGTGGTGCCATGTGTCGATGACGTAGCTCGATGACATGGACGCCACGTGTCGTTGACTGGACGGACACGTGGCATTGGCGTGAATGCCGTGTGGCTTTAGTTGATGGCCGCATGGCTCTGGTTGATGGCCACGTGGCGATAACGTAGAGACGCGTGGCAGGCGTGTTTTTGACACACGTTGCCTCCCACTCACCTTCTTCCTTCCGCCGTGTATGGGGTGCGTGCTGGTGCTTGAGAAAACGTGCCGGCTTCTCATCACGGCGCGTGGGGCGTGTGCTGTGACTGGGCCTTACGCGCCATCTTTAGAAGACGCGTGGGGGCGCGTCCGACGTCTTCTGTGGCTCTTCTTTGCACTTCTGGACTCTTCTTGTCGAGGCCTTGCTCTTGGTATGCACAAAAAATTGATTTCGAGCAACTTGATTTCTGGACAATTTCAAACAACATACTGGTTTTGTTCCGAAACGCCACTGACGAGGCTCTGATACCACTTGTTGGGATCTGGGATCCCGCCCAAGACCTTATAGAAATCATAGCAAGCAGAAAAACACGTCCACACAGAAGGAGACACCATATTTAACGTGGTTCGGCATTAAAGCCTACGTCTACGGGAGAGTAACCGGTTATCACTATAACAATGGAGAGATTACAGAAAGATTACAATAGAGGAGGAGCTCACACTATCCTCACCCAGCCACTCTCCCGTCTCCCTCGCTCACACCGAGAGAGACAGTCTCTCCGCATCACATCTCTCACTCTTTGTTGTTCTTGGTTCTCACATTTTCACCTCTCCTCTTAACCTCCATTTATACACATTGGAGGAGAGGTGTGATTGGTCACCACCTACCCCTATGATGGCTTCTTTTCAAGTGTCAACAATGGTGGCTTGCCCACATTTCTTGCCAACCAATTGTCAACCATGGTAGCTACCATTCTTGACTTGGTTGGTTGCCTTCCCATGGGTGAATTCAACACCAGTGGGATAGAGAAGAAATGTATTAAAAAAATTCTGATTAGGTAATAACTAAAACTAAATCAAAACTCGGCCAAAGGTCAAAATTTGAGTGGCAAGAACTTAAAAGTAAAAACCGTAAAAAAGAACATATGAAAACCTCAAGCTACCAAGCCAATTAATCCTTTTAAAATAACAAGGCAAAACTTGAACTAGTGAGTTGAAATAAGGATGAATCATTGTGTAACACAACACTCCCTTTCACTAAACGATAATATTAAAATAAAACCTAACTTAGTAAGTTGAAAATTGAAATCATGCATGCCACAAACTTCACGAATAAGTATCTTTTGTGTTATACCATCCAATGCCACATTGGCAACATCTTGCTCTGCAGCCTTTCGTTGTGAAAATACATCATGAGATGTATATGACATCCACCCGGACAGTGGACCTAAACCTTGGCTCATGTGGAGCTCCTCATTCATTAATTGTTTCATAAACTGGGAGTGGAATGGATGATTTTTTAGTGTACTCTTGCAAACGATTCTTGTACATTGCGAGTTCCGGAGGATCTAGCAATATTAAGGAAAACATATTATCACAAAATGCACTTCAAGCTCCCAATGAATAGTTTGTTTTTAAGTATTGGCATCTGTAAACTAATTTCAAAAAGTGCATGATCAAGAAATTAGAACCTTTCAAGTACAACGATGAGCAACCATGCAGAAACTTTTTTGTCATTCACACAACAGCTCTAAGGAAGTTCAGCTAAGTAACCTAGAACATTCAGCATACGGTTCGGTTGGGTCACTTCGGGTTTATCCCTGAACCGTCAACTGGCTGCCAACATTCGGATGGAGAAAATGTCAACCTGATTCGACACAAACCCCTTTTGAAACTGTTTGCTTATGCTATTCGGTTTCACAGTCGGTATATGTTCGAGTATCGGGTTGGACCTCAACTCAAATGTAACTGAGAATCTCATTAGATCTACCAATTTGGTAAACAAGAACGAAAAAAAAAAATAAAAAATTGAAACAAATTTATCACTTTCCTTCAGCATAGATCTATTAATTTGGTAAACACAAATAAAAGAAAATCAAAAAATTGAAATAAGATCTCGTAATCTAATATTACATTTAGGGTTTTCGTTGGACTTCCTTAGAGCAGAGAGAGAGAGAGAGTACCTACAGCACCAGTGTAAAAGAGAGAGAAAGCGAGTCGAAAATCTGAGGAAGTGGTGGGAGATTTGAAGTGGTGGGACGTAGTCGTATTTTGAGTAATGCCATTAATGAGATAGGCTAGCATGCGCGTGGTGCGTAGAGCTTTGCTCGCGCTTGCTTCTTTTTTTTTAATCCTTCGGGTTCAAAAAATATAAAATAATTTTTTTAATCCAATAAAATATCACATTTAAGTAGTTGTTTGGGATAAACTAAATAAGTGTATTTTTTGACTTTTTATAAAATATGGGTTGAGTATGGGTTAGGTTTGAAGTGATGTATAAGATGATGTGACTTAAATAGGATAAGGACTTTTTGACTTTTTTAGATTATGCCAAACCAAGCCTTAAATCATAATAATTTTTTTTTTTATAAAAGTTAAAAAAATTAAAAAATTTATTCCAAATAAATTTTTTTAATACCAAATTAAAATAATCAAAAAGACAAAAAAAACTAACCCATGTTCCCTGATTCTTATTCTTGCCCATTTTTCTTGCTTTCTTGGGTTCACTTCACGTAGTTTCTGTTTGAACTAATTCACCATAAAGTTACGGATAAATAGAGGAGAGCATTGTTTAACAATTGGTATTGGATGAAGCCAAGCTAAGTGAATCGGCTTTCTTTTTTATTGCCAAGTAATATATTGGAGAGGAAAAAACATGAAAAAAATAGAGACAAACAAAGATGGAGAAGAACTGAACCAAGATAAGAAATATAATTTTGACATTTCAATAGGAAAAAAGAAAGAAAAAGGATGATTGAAGAGCGAAAATAATATGGGTTTTCTATTCCATTTTGTGAAATAATTTATTTTAATGGGCCAAATACAGATTGGTTTATAGACATGAATCATGTATCAATTGCAACATTGAGGTTACTCAAAATTTTATCATTCTTAGTAATTTTGTAATATGATTTTCATATTGTCTTTACTCCCCATTTAGGTTTTAATATTTAATTCAAAACTTTTAAGTTCTCAAATAGTTTGAAAAGTTTAAGCTTTAACTGGTGTAAGTTGGCATAAATCTATAAATCTATAGTACTAGTACATCATACTTAAAGCCATACAAGTACAAATTTGTCAAAAAGGTAGACAAAAATAAAACAAAAAGTTTGATTAATAAGAAAATGAAAATTTATAACAACATTAATTTACATAAAATAAGTTCAATTACTTTTCTTAAAATTGCTAAAGAAGTTTAAGTATTCATGAATCATATATTTTGCGTATCCCGTACTATATTGTGTATTGTAATATACATTTAACTTGAGATACATTTAACTTGAGATACATATTGATGAAATGTATTGATTTACCTCTAAAAATATCAACTATAAAATATGTATTGTGAATCGTAAGATACCAAAAACACTAGAAAACAAGCAAATATAAGATAGATCTCCTTTATTTGATGTAGGGTTCAATCCAAAATGATAAAAATGAAAACAAATAAAACATAAATTCGAAGAAGAAAATACCTTTAGAAGTTGTATCATTGCACATGTTAGTGCATTATATTGTTAGTGTATTATGTAAAGTGTGTCCTAGCTGATCATGATGTCTTTACTTTCGGTTGCTTTTGGGTGCATTGTTTGTAAACTTCTCCTTTATAAGGAGCTCCTGAACCATTGTACAAAATACATTCAATACATAAATCAATATACATAATTCATTCTCTCTGTATCTCTCTTTCTCTATCAATTTATCTTACATGGTATCAGAGCTATAAGATTTAGGCCTATACTCTTTTCTTTCCGGCGGGCAGCCGGCCGGCAACTTTGCCTTCGCTGCCCGCGGGAGTTTTTTCAACACATACCTTACACATACCTTGAATTGTTTCACTAACAAGGCCTGCTATGTTGCTATACATTCATCACCTTAAGATCAGCTGTGATTCATGATCCGACGGTCCCCACCACCCATCGAAGCCATAGCAGCAAGCAACTCACACCAAGACACCCTTTATGTTCACTCCAATCGCCAGTTCTACATAAACTGCTTTATTGCAGGGACTGTAGATTTCATATTCGGCAACGCGGCGGCGTTATTCCAAGACTGCGACATCCACGCTCGGAAACCCGACGCCGGCCACATGCTCACCGCGCAAGGCCGCATCGACAAACAACCAAAACACCGGAATCGTAATCCAGAAATGCCGAATCGATGCCACTGCCGATCTCACACCCGTCAAGACCAACTTCCCTACCTACCTGGGTCGCCCATGGAAGGAGTATTCGAGGACGATCTTCATGCAATCAACGATCTGCTGGATGATTGACCCTGCTGTCCCCATTCTCTCCTCTCCTAAAGATCGACCGAAAACATGGCCTCCGCCGGTGGAACCGTCGTGGACGGCGGCCCACAGCTCTATTTCTGCTACCAATGCAATCGGACGGTCACCGTCACTCCCTCTCCCAACACCAACCTTCTCTGCCCTTCTTGCGATGGCGGCTTTCTCGAAGAATACGAAGATCCAAACCCTAACCCTAACCCTCATCTACCTCTCGATCCTTTCTCTCCCTTCTCCGATCCTCTCTCCGTCTTCCTCAGTGGTTTCCCTCTTCTCTTCTCCTCCTCTTCCAGTGACCCCCAAAACCCTAGAAACTTCCCCAACTTGTTCTCTCCAACTCGATCGTCCTATGCCCAAGACCCTCACATGTTCGACCCCTACGCTCAAGCATAAATCACGCAAAAGATCATGCATACGACATGCTTTAATTCGACCATCAAACTTTTTTCGAGCAACAATTACTAGACTTCTCTTAATTAGATCCATTAAGTAACCCTCCGCTGCTTCCTCCAAGCTTTGCTGCTCAATTTTTTGTATAAACCCCTCAGCTATCCATAACAAAATTAATCTCTGCACTGAGATTTCTTGATCTTCTGGAAATGCTCCTAAATAGAGGAAGCTTGTTTTCAAGTGACGAGGCAAGTGACTATAACTCAGTGCTAGTGTGTCCAGGTACTAGTTTGGATCGCTAACAATGTACAAATTTACACTTTGGGAAATATGTTTCCAACACTCTTTTGTCTTCTTATTCTTCGCAAGAAGACCCGCAATTACAACCATTGCAAGTGGAAGCCCTTTACATTTTTTCATTATTTGCTTCCCAATTTCAATTAGTTCTAAAGGGCAACTTTCTTTTCGAAACACCTTCCATTGAAATAATTCCCAACTTTCTTGTTCATTTAGAAAATGAATACAATGAGGTTGGCTATCAGGTGAGGTGTGCACGGCCACCTCTCTGTGACGACTAGTAAACATAACTCTGCTTTCAATGTTGTCATTTGGTAAACACGTTTTAGGATTGACCCAGGCACCAATATCCCAAATATCGTCAATGACAATGAGATATCTCTTCCCCTTAAAGTGCTCGTACAACTTTTCACTTAACATTTCATTGCTCATGTTTGTAGCTTCATCGGAAGGAGATTAACAGAATGTAAAATGTTCAACAACATTTCTCTTCTTTTGGGTACTTGAGAAACATAGGTCCATGCACGAATATGGAAGTAGTGTGTGATTAAGGATCATTGTACACTTTTCTGGCTAAAGTTGTCTTATCGAGTCCAGGCATCCCAACAATTGACATAATGTGTAGCTGCTTCTTCCCTCCAGCAAGTTGCTCTTTTACAGGCAATGCCTTGTTGTCAAAGCCCACCGTAATTTCTTCTTCTACCATGGTTCTGTTCTCCATTGATGGCACTCCATCAGAGGACTTTCCAGCTTGTAGGACTTGGATCTGATATATCTTGTCATAAAACTGCATGACTTTTACCTGAATGGGCTTAATCTGTTCCATGATATCACTGAGGTTTAAGCAAAAATCAAAGACAGCCAAATATCTTTTGGGCAGCCTATCTACACACTCATACAGTGTCTTCTACACCAGTCAGCTTTATCAATCCCTTTGTTTCAACCTCAAATAGGTTTCTATCTTCACACCTATTTGAGTTTGAGGGGGGTTATACACAGTATCATATATAAGTCACCCATGGCGCACTCCTTAAGTCACCCCCTTGGTGCACCACCACAATCTTCTACAACGGTCTGACACAACCACACAGTGTCTGCTACATCGGTCCGGCATGACCTCGTAAACTGTCCTGCTACAACGGTCCGACATGACCCCATAAAATGTCTTCTATAACGGTCCGACATGACCCCATAAACTGTCCCGACATTGATTCCGGTCAGCTGCTATATCGGTCCGACATGACCCCGTAAACTGTCTTCTACAACGGTCCGACATGACCCCGTAAA